TGCTGTCTGGAATGTACGTTTATAAATCCTTTTGGCTTCTTCTATTATTGTTTTCTCAAATTTGCCTTTAAAATCCCTAGCACATCACATTCTACCACTCTACCATTCTACTACCACGCTACGAAAGCTGGTAGACAGCGCACCAACTCTCAAATGATTACTTGATTGAATTATTTCTCCTTAATATGGTCCTTGCTTTTTTGGTTGCACAAAAGATAACCTCGGTTTTGCTATTATGTAATTGCAGGCCGTGCTTCTTCGAGAGAAGGTTCGAACAAGTAGTGTCCCAAATTCAAGGCAAGTTCTTACATATTTTAATGTTAATGTTTTATTTATTCTTTCTGCATATTGTTATGATTTCTATGTACGGTCTTTTTCTTGTAGTCACTCTTTAGCGTATCTAATTTTGTGCATTCGTTTAAATGAGCAACTTACACTCTCAACGTTTATTTCACATTATATCTTATGCTTTTAAATTCGCGATTATTGTGGATAATTTAATTTACTCAAGTGACTTGAATTCTTTACGTGCATGCATTTTACAATAACTACTTTCTATTCAGTTGTCAAGTGTATTTGATTTTCACTGTTCAGTTGTTTATTAACTATGCGTTATAGGTCTAACTAATCGGTTTTGTTCTTACTTTTTGCACACCGACTTAAGTTTTCATTTTGTTTTTCTTTGATTTAAATGTTTGACTCTGTATTTTAATTTCGCCTGTTTTTATGTAACACGGCCCCTTGAAAAACAACCTCAGTTGACTGGGCTGTGGTATATGAACAAGTTTATATTAATAAAAAGAGCGGCCGTTGTTTTCAGCTAGTGATCGATTTGTCTGGTAACCTGTAAACATAAATATAGCCCAAGTACCATGTAGAATCGATCAGATCCAATGTGGCCGTGTACCAGGAGCATCGGGCGAAACTTATGAAATATGTACGTGTATTGTACATGTACATACATTTTAATGCAACCGCTCAGTAGAATTAACATGCATAAATAAATATGCTGCTCATTTCGTCTGCACGGGTAAATTCTGTCTGCGCGTTGGTAGTGAAGCACGCCATTTTCGGGGCTGAGTTTGTCTTGCGTGAATAATAAAAACTGGGTTTGCCTAACCCAACAAAAATTGAAAAGAAATGGATAAATAACAGACGAAAGTAATTTAATTCTGTTTTTGAGAAACCTCAATAACAAGCTTTGTTGATTTTACACTTGATGCACCGGTGCACCCCATGGACTTAGAGTAAGCTAGAACAGCGCCCCCTGTAACTAGTAAGACTCCATGGCTAACGCCTGCCTACCAGTATAGTGTGTTGATTATAAGTACAGGATAAGGCAGCGATGCGTTTTTTGTGCGTAAAATGCTGGCTAATGCTCATCTTAATGGTATCTCTAACATGCCATTCGAGAATAGATTTCTGGATTTTTGGAAAAAAGATTCCACTTCTTTTCATGATGATTTCAGCGAGGACTAATTACATTATTTTCCTCGCCCAGGCTCCGGTAAAATTAAGAGTAAAGAATTTTAGGAGCTGGGAAAACCTAACCTAGACCTCTAAATGTACAAAATATGACCTAAAACCAAACCCCGAAGTACTTTTCAACAGCATTTTTTCGGTTTTATACTTGTCCTTTCATTTGAATCTTTTTGGACACCTGTCCAGTAGCCATGGTTTACTTATGCCAGCATGTCAAATGCTCTGTGTCCCCTTTTGTCACGTTATGATGAAACCAAGCTGTTAAAATATGACAAGATTTCATAGGCAGACAAACATCCCCGGGGAGGAAAGAAATCTGATCGGAACCGAGGAAATGGAAACAAAGGGGAGAGCCCCGCAAAGCCAAGGTCTTTTTAAGTTCGGTGGGTTCATTGTCAATAAATATCAAGTTCTTAGACCTCATGCAGAGTGCAGTGGACAACCGGTACTTATAAATTCCAGCCAACTCCCCCCCCCCGGTTAAAAAGAAATCAGGAGATATATTAATAAACGCTTTGCTTAGGCTTTGTTACCTCTTAATAAATGGTAAAATGTAGCTATTTCGGAATTCTTGTGATGTGTGCAGGATGTGAAATTCGGGAAAGATGTTCGTGTTCATAAAGTCGCGGTCGACAAGACCGGATAAAACTCTTGATGATCTAAATGCAATTGTGATGATTAAACACCTGCTGCCTCTAGTATGTAGGTTTTTCACATTTATATGGCTTAGTTTGAAATCAAAGATTCGGTTTACCTTTCCCAATTTCTCAAAGGTATTTCTAGATAGAACACCAAACATCTAGCGACGTAATTGTGGAACTTTTTTCATTCTATGATCTTATTCATATTTACGTGCTTCAGGGTGGGACATAAGGTTAAAACGAAAAAAATCAGGGTCTCAGTTCCACTTGAAAATACACTTTCTCTCAAGAGAGCGCTGAATTGATCTATAACCATAAGCAGAGTCACAGTTCCACTTGAAAATACACCTTCTCTCAAGAGAGCGCTGATTTGATAACCTTCAGCAGAGTCTTAGCCCAAACCTTGAAATAGCTAGTCCAAAGAATGTAAAAAATAAACAAAAACAAAAATGAGATAATCCTATCAAGCGCGTTTTGCCCAGAAAGTGGGCACTCAGTGGGCTTGTTTTACAGTGTCAGTAAGTCACCCATTTAGTCCACGGAGGAAGACAAAATATGTTGTTACCCACAAAACAATAAATCGTTTTTGGCCAAACAAAACAGTTCAATGCTGGAATGTTCATTTTCACGTAAAGGTTTTACACTGCACTTCTAGTCAATTGAAACTTCGACATCTTTACTCGATTTATGTCATTCGGATATACAGCCACCTGTCAGCTTTCCCATTGAGATATTGCTCCTAAAATAATCTGGAATGCAGGTATGAGACAGCCTGGCCAACTCGGCACAAAAGAACTTAGGAAGGGCACCATGGGAACTTGGTGGAATGCAACTCCAATGAATGACCTCCGAGCGAGTAGCAACCAGCTGGCGGAGCGAGTGTAACTAACCAACGCAAGACGGCGATCGCTTTCCCCGTCCCCAGCGTCTTTTATCGTCCGCTGCTTCTTTTGCCCCTCCTTGTTAGACTAGGGTGCCAGGCAATCTTGCAGTGGGATCCATGGGAATGCTGTTATTCTCTGCAAAAAAGCAAAAAATGAGCCGACAAAATCATCGCAATCCAAAGTCATATGAACCACTGTTACATTTACAATTTAAGATCTGACTTGCTTCTTCAAGTCGTAGTCGTAGGCTTTTGAGGATGAAGTACTGTACATGTGCATGCATATTTTGCCTAACCCATCGGCACATCAGGCGACTGTTCGTGGCCTTGGCTGGTCTTGGAGCAAGCTGCAACTGTTTGTAATGGCCCGCAACTCATCGCCGAGAGGCGATGAATCAGTATACAGTGTCTTGGACCAAGACTGGGTCTTGCCAAGCATCATGTTCTTATCGAGACTTCTGACAGTTTACCCAAATTGACTGCTTGTCAGAAAATCAATTAGTTACCAATATTCTCAGTGCCCCCTTGAGACAACTATGCCACCTATTTTGCTTTGTTTTGAATCTCTGACACGGCTAGCTAATAAACTATGACACCCAATTCACCTCTGACCATACATCACATTCCTGGAATAAACCTGGGTTAAAAAATAACGGGGACTTCGAACGTTCTGCAGTGACTTAGTTTAGATTTAGGTAGAGGGCGCTGTTTGCAAATTAATGGCTGCGCGTTTGGAAAATTTTGGCCGCCCACAAGTCAGCACGTATTGGATGCTGACATTGTAAACACCTCGCGTACGGGAAGGGGGTGGAGGATATGCGCACATACAAAGAGCGCTAGTTTTTTATTTTGATAAATGTTTGCAGGACTTTGAAAACCTGCCACTCCAAGTGTTAATTTTAAGTTTATTCCAAGTACAAAGGTCCTTTTACCATCACTTTATCAATTACTATGTCTGGTTGTAGCTTGTTTTGACCTGCTTGGTATCTAAGCAAGATCCATTCCACTAGGATTCACACCGTCCTCATAGGCCTACTCTACTGTAATTTTGAATTAAGATTATGGATATGTTGTAAAAAATTCGGGACTGTAATCAGCGATAAACTTTTACAGGACTTGTCTCTGTAATTTTCATGCATTGCGAAAGCCAATATAACTGTATACTCATGCTGTATGATAGTTTCTTTTTAAGATTTTTTGAGCAACTAGATTGATTTTTTTCAAGGTCACTGCTGTGTTGACATGATGATGATGCGGGAAATTATTAGACCAGCACCTAACTGTGCAATTTCTGCAGTCTTCTCTTCTTTCTACTCGGGCAGACGAGATGTGACCTCACCAGTCGAGTCGGAGTAAATAACCAGTCTGATCCGATCGATACGCTGGTGGTATTTTTAACATCACAGGGAACTCGAGATCATTGTTGTTTGAAACGCGGCGCGCTGGAGAAGACAAACAAGTAAGGTGCACGATTGTCGATGGTTTGTCTGCTGTATTGTAGATGTAGAAAAACCAAATCCCTTGATGACGGGTGGGCATGTTTTCATGCTGGTCAGGCCTTTGGTATATATGGGGATTGTACGTGTTTATTGTAAACTGCATAGTCGCCAAGCAGAGGCTCCTAATCGGAAGCAAGTGAGTGTTAATAAGGCAACTAGGCAAGTTCATGAGATCACACGAGTGGGAAAACGAATATTGGGGGGACGTCAACATGAACACGAGGGACCTCCACAATATGCAGGAATCTGACCGTCCAATTTTTTTAATGATAAGTTGTCATTTCATGCACTTAGGAGGTGTCTTGGTTTGAGACGGGCACAATGAAATGATGTTTCCGTTATGTAGACAGGCAGGCTGAATATTATATAAGCAGTTCTTGACCACTGATTACTGCTTTCTGACCAAAAGAGTGTCTCAAGAATTCAAGCATATCCGAAGTGGACTAGTCCCAGGGCAGAATCTAGGCGGGGAGCCTTAGCTCACGTCAGAGTCACTCTGCTCACAGTAGGCGTGAGGGTCAAAAAATCACCGAGGTATGCCGGGATTATACAGAGTATAATGCAGAAGGTAAAATAACCCACTCAACAAAAGTATGTGCCGGGCTAATACCGGGCATTATTGGTCCAGAATGGTAGTTTGTTCAGGAGGCATCGAGGCGTGGACTGGGGCTTTGCTCTCTCACTGCATCTATTACTCTGTATGTTGTTCCTTGTGAACTTTCTAGGGAACTTGTGTCGCCTTGCCAAGTTCATTTGCTACACAGCCCCGGTTTTGTTGAGTGGGACGAAGAGGAGAAGGAATGTGCAAGAAAGGAGACTGGTTTGGAATAACTTTCAAGTAAATTCCGACGTGGTAGGCGTCACGTTGCTTAGCATTACATACCAGTAATGGTTCTTATAAGCTTCTAGACAGAACTAGACACTCGTCTCACGGAACAAGACAGCTCATGAGATACATTCACTAGATGAGAAACACCTTGACTTCGTCGTCGTTTAGGAACTGGTTCAGGATTAATGGTAACCGAGAGTGAACCACTATATGAAGTTGCAGATAATGGGAGATGTTGTCATCCTTCTTGGACTAAATTGTGCTTGAAGTGCAGGAGTCTACAAAATTACATCTAAACTCCAAGGCGTCAACCTGGTAAGTAACTTGATTTTTTATGTTCTATTTCAAATTTGGTTATTTTCTAAAAAAGTGATTTGTTCTACTTTTTTATGTGGAATTTTCCCTTGTTTAGTTACTGTGTGCATGCGTTGCCCTTTTGCGAAAAGTAAAGGTTCTCCTTGGGAAGACCTGTTTTGAAGCTTTCGAAACGATCCGGCGTGCCAAGTGAAAAGTTGTTAGAGTTTTCTGACCTTTTTATGCTCCTCGCGTTAATCATGCACTCAGAAGTATAGGGCCTGTCTTCATCTTGGAAGTTGTGCGTTTCAAGTAGTTCATTCTCTGGGTTTTGTTTTTGGGCTGTTTGGTTATTCCAGCCAATGAATTTTCCATTAAGAAAATATGCGACGCTATGGGTCGAAATAGCTAAGTTCTCGAACAAGTTATTTGCGCTCGATTAATACCGGTTAGCTAAAAATAAATATTTGCGTGCTATGTAAACTGCGCAGAACTCGTACGGAGCAGCGCACGGAATTGGCGGTTAGCGTATTTTGTCGTAGTAGGCCTATTGGTATCGATTAGGGTCTGGTCAGATTATTGGAAATCGAGACTGTTTTGCAAAATGAGCGATCACATGAATTAATGGGCCGTCCTTACCACCAGGCGTCGCGGTCATTTGCCTTATGCCGATGTTTCAGGCTGTTTAGACCTATCGGATTTGCGAGAGAGGACGAATTGTCGGAATGGCTTATAAAAAAACAGACGCAGACTCGAAGCAGACATAAATCTCAAGATCTATCAGACTTAAGAGCGAGGTAAAAACTTGTTGAGGAAACACAGTTGTCATCCTGGTCTATCGTAAGCGGTTAGTCCTAAAAGAAGCGTAACATCTTGTCGTGAAGTATTAAACTGGTGAAAGTGTCATTCTTAATATTGTACCCTTGAAAGAAAAACAGTTTGTCATGTATAAAAAGTCAAAGGAAACTCAAATTTTATGGTTACAACAGAATGAAAATGTTTGGCTCTATTTTGTTCTCCAACAAGCAGTACAGGTTTGACGTGTGGAACTCACTGAGACTTCATTCGTCTGTTTGTCACCTGTTCTGAAAAGTCAAGACCCTCGAATTGATCCCACGGGTCACGAACTAACAGAGATCCCGCTCAAAATATACCGAGTGATCGCAACAAGGTTGAGCGTATGCTTGTGGTTTACGGTGGCCCATAACGAAAATGGGTAGATCCTTTTTTACGAGACCCAAACACAGAATTTGCGGATGGTGAGCAAGAGATTCCGTAATCACTTTCCAGGCGGTAAGAGAATCTTGCCACTGACGTTTCCTACTTCCTCTTCCAGAGCAGTTAGCTATGAACGAACCTCACTGTGTTATTATACATCTGAGGAGATTATAGCTTTCAAGAGAAACACTTTCGATAAACGGGAGAATTGAATATTCCAAAAATTAGGGACATTGATCAGGAGATCGCGGACGGAGCAGGCAAAAATATAGTCTTCTTGTTACGTCAGAAGCAATAGGGTAAACAGCCGATCGCTTGTAGAAACGACAAACAGACTATGATTGACAGGTGGCTTGGGATTTCAAACAGTCTGGAAAGGCTGAAATGGGCATTTGTTTTGTTACCAAAACACCCAAACAGCTTGAGCTCTGGGATCAAATATGTGGCAGAGGGTCGTGTCATATTGTCACAAGCACGAGTGCATTCACGTCACCAAGAGAGTGAGTTCAAGGTTTCATCCACCTCCACCCTCCGTCTTCTCTTACGATCTACCATGCTGGGTTTGCTAGGAAGCTACCCATCTATTTGGTCTAATCTGCACAAGTCCAAAGTTTGACTTTCCCCACCGGGAAAGATATGACGAATGTCAAAGTGCCCGGTCTTACCCGTGACTGTGGAATTTTTTTAAATACTAGAAGTTTGTGTTATCGAAATTCTTCAAATTGTTGTCATAAACAGAAGCCCACTCTCACCCCATTTTTAAAATGCTATTAGTCATTCTTAATTTTTCGAAATGATCTGTCCTTGGAAACAAGCAAAAATATCACAAAACTATTTTTCCGCTACAGCGGTGCAGGATTTCAAAATATTAATAAGCATGGACCTCACTTGGGTATCTGCGGCGTAAGTTGATTCCTCAACTTGAAAGATCTGGTCGCGCTAACAAATGCTATTCTGTGGAGTCAAGAAGGCTCGACAACTTAACCGGCGTGGGAGGCCCACTTGAAGTGCCATCGAGGCAACGAGAGACATTCAAGAGGATGTAACTCCTGCCTCAGTTGTTGAATCAGAAATGACCTGGATTGCTACGGGGTTTGTGACGTGCCATCATGAGTGAGAAATGAGTGGGTTGCTATGCCGTGCGGAGTTTGCCGTTAGGTGCCATCCGACGTGGGAGAAAATTCGTTCTTAGAATAAACAACAGCTCGGACTGTTATTTCTTCTGTTGATCTAAGCATCTGAGATATGTTCGCAGCAGGACGATTGTACTGATTGCTTTCAAGTTTCTACATCGATCGGATGAAACTTCGTATGTTTTCTGGGCACTATAATGATTAGAAATATGTATTTATATAGCGATACAAATGCCGACCACTCGAACTCAATACAAAGATTTTTCCGACCACTATTATTGACTCAAACCTTATAGTTTTTCTATAAGACGGGTGTCCTTCAAGGTGCCCGGTACCATTGGGACTGTTTTATGGCCTCGTGACGGTTACATAAAAGAGTCCCAATGGTACTGGTACCTGTATTGTTTTATGATTATATTCCTCAGCATGATTGGGTTTTGGCAGAAATCACTTCTCGACGCGCACATTATAAAAATGTGTTTTCACGAGTAAGGAATGCAAGAAATACGTTTGTATTCAAAGAACAGTACATAAATCATCAAATTTTGGGACTCCGGGACCATTGCTTTCTTTCGATTTTCAATGAAAGATGTAAATACGCCACATTCGTTGGGTCATAAACCCATCCGCACATCATACAGCACTAATGACCCAAGTGGTTTGTGTAAACAACACAAAATCAAAACCTAAAGATAAACAAATTGCCAAAATAGTCTTCGCGTCGCAAAAACTGTGTGATTTCTTTTTCTTGCATCACCTGCTTCTACACCTGTTCTCAAATGTAGCTATCATTTCTATTCCAAGGTCCTGTTGAATCATTAAAGATTGCATGCCACTGCAACTATTTAGGGAGTAAGTTATACAACGAGTATATCTCCTCACTATTCACATTTTTTGGCTAATTATCGAGTCATGTCATTATTTGCCAGCCTTACAACATCATGCTCAGAGTCCCGCTTCTAGGCTAGACCAGGTCGGTATATATAAGGCTTCACCTCATGCCGTATCAAACACAAAGCTCTCGGGATATTCTATTCCAGCGTTCAAAAAGGCGCCCGATCGCGGACGAAGACCACCCGTACGCGGAGTAATGTACTGCACCAGAATGAGCGCGCGTGAGGCGAGGGGGCACTAGCGTAGACTTCAGTCAACCTGATCGCATTGACATGATAGTTTGTTAAATGGTAGGGCCAATTATGGAAACCCCGTGTTTAAGGGTGAGACGTGCGCATAAATGCATCATATGCCCGTGATTACGAGTCTTTGCATGCATTTCTTTTCCCGTAATGTGAATTTCTTTTCCTGTATCAGTCGGCCTGTATTTGTCTCACCACTTTTGCAAATGACCCATCTCCCCAGACCATCCCCATAGCCCCCTAGTGTTTGGGTGCAGATCATACCAAGCTAGCGGCCTAATGGTTCAATTTGATGTGAAAAAAGTCTGCACACTTGGTTGCAGAATGCGCACGGATAATTACACCAGCAGGCACTAGGAGAAGTAGGGTGAAGAAACTGAATAGAATGTTCTGCTGGATATGTGTGGCGTGTCCTTGGGTTGATGCAGCTCGAGAGTTTGTCTTCTTTTAACATCTTTTTAAAAAGGTGATGCCGCCAGCCTTGTTATCTTGTAAATAACTACTTAGCTGTCGAACTGTTTCAGTTGATTGCAACGTGCGGTGCTTGTATGGTCTCACCCATTATTTTCGGGGTTTTTACTGGAAGGTAGATTTCTTTAACACAAAGGGGCGGCTTGTGATTTAATTGTGTTTGTGCGTCTCGAAATTTAACAAGCTGGAAGACAGGCTACTCACTCCTTATATTGTGAAGAAGAAAAGATTTGATTTGATTTCGGCATTCTCGCAGTTGTCATCTTTCTTATTCGTTTGATTTGTAAGATTGTGAGGGCAACAAGTTAGGAATTGGTACGGTACATTTTGGTTTCCTTCTTGCGTCTAACTTTTCCACCGCCCCAGGTCTGCCCATGCGTGACATAAACTAGCTTAACATCCGCCGATGCCAGGATGTTATGTTCGATAGGACACAGATAGAGCTTAAAACAATCCAAAGAAACTAAAATTTTAGTGCCAGAAAGGTAAGAACTTCGTCATCTCACTCAAAGGAAAAGACTAAGAATGGTATAGGTCCCAAATCTGTATTATAGGCCTTTGACCATCTTTGACACTCTTAGCGAACGAAGGGGTATCGATTGGACGGCCGCACGGTTTGCTATAATTTATGTATTGTTGTGCCAATGTGCGATGACATACAAGTGGGACTTACATCTGTTTGGTGCATTTTGGTTTAATTTTAATTATCTCGTAGTGTTATTCTTTTGTTCAAGAAGAATGCGATCGGAAGCGGCGAAATAAAAAGTACATTTTGTGACAATGGCTCAGATGAAAAACATACTTGAAAAAACATGATTTGCGGGGCCTCAGGGGGTGACATTGATTGATAGCTATGTCAAAAGAGTTACTTTCTTGAAATTGATATACACCCGACCTAGATTTTCATGAAATTCGGTCTTTTACAGATAAACGAAAAGTCCTGAACCTCCATGAACTTTCAAAGCACTTTCATTGCCGCTTGAGGGCTGTTGCCCGAAGCAGTTGACACAAACGATGATCTTTTATCGACCGTCAACACATCGCCTCGTGAGAAATAAGTCCT